CAGTCCTTGCACTTTATGTTGTAAATGACTCCCGGTTTTTCTTCTTGTGCTACTGGGTCTTTTGGTTTACTTAAGATATTTTGGAGGGCTTTAGTTGGTTTGTGTGCTACAATGATGCCATGTGGTTGTTAATAGTCTGTTGGTGGTTTCTGAGACGTTTCTGATGTATGGCAGTGTGATCCTTTTCATAGCTTATGCAGGTTGTGTTGTAGTAGGTTGAGTGGTCAGGCACTTTTTGATAAAGTTGTGTGGATATCTATTTTGCTGGAAGATGTTGTATAGGCAGTCTGTTTCCTTTTTCTGTTGAGTCCTCAGACTCCTTTCCGTCTGACAAAAAATCAGAAGAGGTCTGGTAGCACCCTTTCCAACTAACATATTTTATTAAAAGGCATAATAAGCTTTTGTGAGCTGTAGCTCGCTTCATCAGATACGTAGAGTGGTTACAGTGATGTAGTATTATTATGCTACATCAAGTATGCTATTCCTTTCAGGGAAAGGAACAAATAAGGAGTAGGAAATGCAAAGTCAATGGAATTAAAGGCATGAGATTAAAAAAAATGTTAAGGAAATATAGTAAAATCTAATCCTAAAAGTTGGTTTACACAGCTGCTTTTTATTGATGAAATGACTACTGCATGATGCCATGGAAGACAGTGAAAATGTGCTGATGCACTGCGTTCAAGAGAAGTGTGTAGAATTACACCAATAAGAAGTATGAAAAAAATGCTTAGTGAAATAATGAAGTGAAAGAGGGTGGGGATGAGTAAAATGCATATAAGAAGATGATTGCTGAGGATGAAGGTAAGATTTTGTATAATATGTATACAGAGAAAAAGTTAGTTGCAAAGAATGTAGTTGAAGAGAGCAAGGAACAGTTAGGATAAAAAGAGGGAGAGAAAATGCAGAGTGAGTTTGATGGAAATTTTAAAAAATTGTGGAGTCCTTGGTGCTCTCTGAGCTTGGTTGTTTGCTTGCAGACATTTCGTTACCCAATTAGGTAACATCATCAGTGCTAGTGAGTGTGGGGTTTGCTCCCTGTTTATATACTGGCTTGCCCTGTCAGTGTTGGTGGAGGTGTGGTTTTCTCCTTGGTAGTTCCTTAATTAGGATATTGTTTCTGCTTGATAGTTTGTTTGGTGTTCATCCCTGCCTATCTGGTGTTAGTTGCTGGAGAGGATGTGTTCAGGTCTTTTTGCTTCCTTCTTAGCTTTCTTATTGTCTCTTTTGAATGGTGTGTAAATGTGTCTATTGATGGCTGATTTGTCTGAAAGCCAAGCTGCCAATGAGGAGGACTCAACAGAGTTAAGAAAGGTCAGGTAAAAAGCTATATCAGTAGAAACCATATGACCTCAGAGACCAGGCCATGGAAAAGCATCGTGCTAGCTTTCTCAGCACAGTGGGAGGGGTACAGAACCAGGGGAATCCACCAATTAGGGGCATAGTAGGTACAGTCCAGTCAGAACACCAGGCTATCACTATGGCCAAAGTAGAGGAAACTTGTGAAAACCACTGGTCCCAGCTGGTCTAGGCACCCCTGGATTAACCATTAAGCAAATTAAGCACATGCTTAGGGCACCAAAGGGAGGGGGCACCACAGAGGTTTTTCCTCTAGCTATCATGCCCTTAACTCTTTCACTGCCATGCTCGATTTTAGTTTTCAACATTTACTGAGTCTTAATATCTTGTCAGTTAAGCAGTGGAAGGGCTGAGGGGCTCCTTTGTACTGTAGGGCTATGCATAGAGCATCAGTTGGCCTTAATCAGGCCCTGGGTCTAGGCACTAAGGTAGAAAAAGCAGACTGACTGCAGGATGCTTCTTAATTGATACCAACAGGAACTATAAGCATAATATGTGCCACAAATGGGAGGTTTGTATGAATTGTTAGTGCCAACGCATATATAGTCTCCAGAGCTTTAATTTTTCACATTTGAGAAAAGCCATGGTGGACGTGGAGCTTTGCCTTTCAGTTGAAAGTACAGTCCCATGAAAATAACGCCATCATCACAAGTGAGTCACTTGTTTAATGCCATGTGTTTCTCAGTTTAATTGTTTATAACAGCCTTTCAGTAAAACTAGGCACTGCACCTAAGATCCTCTCCTGGGTGGGTAACGTTTAGGCATGTTTCCCAGGGGTTGAAATGTCTTCTTGTGTGGTTTGCCCATCCTCTGAGTGGTAGCTATTATGGAAAAAAGTATATGATAATATCACAAAACAGCTGTAGCATGTTAATCTTAAGGGCAAAGTAGTGCTATTTACTGTATGCATCAAACATTACAGGGATAAGCTTAGTTCACACATAATATTAAGCCATAAATGTGGTTGGTTAGTTTTTGGCTTTGCCAGCCATTATGACCTCATGTTATCTATGAACCAGGCCACCATGACTTATTCAAGAAACCATGGGTGGAAAAAAAATCTGACTTTGCCAGGATTCTGTGTTAACTCAGCAACAGTGAAATAGAGAGGAGTGTTGAAGCTCCTTTGGAATAATGCCCATCTGAAACACAAGGAGAAAGGGCTGCCCCCATTTTTCCTCAATAACAATCCTCCATGGCATTTCACATAAATCTGTGAGATTACTAAGATCCAAGATGCAGGTAGAATCACATACATGCTGTTGTGGATTCCAATTATTAGGGAGTGTTGACATTTACCAGAACATTTGCATAGTTTTAATTCATTATCTTTAACAGTAGTAGCATATACAAGCCTGATCTACAACACGTATTCTTTTTTCTCATCTTTCTAAGAAATGTAGGGAGATTTCAATAAAGATAGTATTAATCAAGCAATATGCATTCTTGATTTTCAGGATAAAGAATTTAATTTACACTTCACAGCAAAGAACCGGTAAGATCTTTTATATATTTATCTACTGATTTCCAGCTGTTTTAAAATAAAGAAAATCTCCTGTGAATCAACCTGGTGACTACATGAACATACCCATGTTGTTTTCTTGGCAGCCATGCAGAAATAATTTGCCATCTGCTTCTGCGACATTTGTTTGACTTTCCAGTGCTGATATCTCTTGGGTTGTCTCCCATCCAAGTAATTACCAGATCTGACCTTGCTTAGCTCTTTTGAGATTGGCCCAAGTTGGCTAGGTGCTCTCATCTGCTAGACAGTTTAAAAATATATTTCCTTTTTTAATATAACTTTATTAAATTTTTAAGCAAGAAAGATACAAACTAACAGAAACTCAAACTAAATTTGAGATAAAGGAAAGAGGAGGGGGGGAGAGAAGGAAGGAAGGAAGGAAGGAAGGAAGGAAGGAAGGAAGGAAGGAAGGAAG